GGTCAAGGGCATGTACCTTGGTTGTGGGCACATCCCCAGTAGGGGGTGTGCAGGAGGCAGCTGATGGATGTTTCTCTCTCATGGATGTTTCTAACTCTTTATCCCTCTCCCTTCCTCTCTGTAAAATATCAATAAGATATATTTTTTAAAAAAGATAGATCAATAGAAATTACACAATAAAAATAACAGAAAGAAAACAACACAACCTTAGGGGCTTGTTAATTTAATATTCATATCATTGGAATCTCAGGAGGAGAAAAGAAAGAGGTAGATTCAGAAAATATATTTGATGTTAAAAGGAAGGAATGCTTACCATTTGCAACAGCATGGATGGACTTAGAGAGCATTATCCTAAGCGAAATAAGCCAGTTGGAGAAACATAAATATCACATGATCTCACGCATTTGTGGAATATAATGAAAAACAAAAACTGATAATAAAAATAGAACCAGAGAAAAAAAAATTTTAGAATATAATAGAAGTAATCCTGTTATTTGCAGATTTTTAATATTTCCTACAACTTTTGTGATATTATACTATATTAGTACAGTTTTGGTAAATATTATTATATTTTAAATCTTTTTTTCTTGAAATATTAATGTTCATTGCATGTAACATTATTATAGTTAAGATAATTTTTCTTGAAATATTAATATTCATTGCATGTCACATTATTATATTTAAAATTGTTTTTCTTAAAATATTAATGTTTATTTCATGTAACATTATAAATTTTAAAAAAGAGTTAAAAAAAAACAAGAGAAAATATATTTGAAGAAAAAATGTCAGAAAACTTTCTAAATTTGGTGGAAGACATATGTTTACAGATTCAAGAAATTCAATAAATCCCAATCAGGTTAAGCTGGGGAAAAAAAATACCCAGATATATCATAATCAAACCAAAGGTAAATAAAACATCTTGAAAGCAGCCAGAAGAAAAATAAATTACACATAAGGGAAACTATGACTGCAGACTTCTTGTCAAAAACCATAGAGACCAGAAGACAGTGAAACAATATCTTCAAAGTGTGGGAAAATAGGTGATTGATAGATAGATAGATAGATAGATAGATAATAGATAGATGATAGATAGCTGAAAGGAAAGAACTGTCAACTCAGAATTCTATATCCAGGAAAAAATATCATTCAGGAATATAGGCAAAATAAAAACATTTTCAGATGAAAGAAAGCTAAAAAAAAGTATCACCAGCAAACTTAAAAAAAAAAAAAGAAAGAAAGAAAGTTTTTCAGGATGAGGTGAAATTATACCACAGGGAAATTTAGAACTTAAGGAATAAAGAAAGAACAAGAGCCCAGCCGGTGTGGCTCAGTTGTTGTGTTGACCCATGCACTGGTTTGATTCTGGTCAGGGTACATGCAGGTTGCAGTCTCAGTCCCCATCGAGTGGGCATGCAGGAGACAGCTGATTGATGTTTCTCTCTCCCTTCCTCTTTCTCTAAAAATCAATACAAAATATATTTTTAAAAAAACAAACAAGAAAAATGATGACTATCTGAATAAACAGAATATTTTGTTTTCTTAAATTCTTTAAAATATGGATGACTGTTGGAAGCCAAAATTATAACATTGTTTGTAATGCTTCAATGTATCTAGATATAACCTATATAATAAAAGGGTAATATGCAAATTGACCCTAACAGCGAACCGACCAGGAACAATCGGTCACTATGATGCACACTGACCACCAGGGGGCAGACACTCAACACAGGCACTACCCCCTGGTGGTCAGTGCACTTTCACAGGGGAAGCGCTGCTCAGCCAGAAGCCAGCTCATGGCTGGCCAATGTGGCAGTGCTAAGGATGTCCAACTAACGGCTTAGGCTCTGTTTCCATAACATAAAAGGAGTAGGACAAAGAACCTTTGTGGTTATAGACATCTATATTTTACCTGAAGTGGTAAAATATTAGTGCTATCTAGACTATGAAAAGTTAGGTATATACATTATTATCCTGAGAGCAACTACTAAAAAATACAGTTAAAAAGCAAATAACTACATTAAGGTAAAATATTCAAATAATCCAAAAGAAGCCAGGGACAAAAGTGAAACACAGGGAATAAATACAAAATATATAAAGCAATATGTTTAATTTCAATCTAACATCAATTATATTATATATATAAATTGTCTCAGCACCAATTAAGTGAAAGAGATTTTCAGATGGAATAAAAAAAAAAAACAAGAATCACATGCAGAAAACTTATTTTAAATATAATAATATAAATAGATTTAAACTAATGTGATGGAAAAATATGCAAACAATAATCAAAAGAAAGCTTGAGTGCCTATATTAATTTCAGATAAAGTAGACTTCAGAAAAGGGAAAATTGCCAGAGATAAAGACAGGCATTATATAATGACAAAGGGTAAATTCACCAAGAAGATGTAAGACTGAATGTGTATGTATCTAACATGACAGTTCCAAAATACATAAAGCAAAAGCTGACAGAACTGAAGAGAAATAGAAAAATCCACAATTAGAGTTGAACATCATGGGACCATTAACCCAAAATTTTTGGCCACAGTTTCTCTCAGAAGGTGTTATGAAAATTTGCCCTCTCTGTTTCCACAAAAAAAAATGATCCTCTTCCAGAGACTTTAGAGTGAGTGTGACATCATGTCCAGTGCTGCGAGAATCCCACCCTAACCAGGTGCAGAACTGTAAGCATGGTCAGACATTAGTTACTTAATGAAATTTTAGAGAAAATCAATAGTAATTTCCCAGCAACATCTCTCTGAGAAACCTGAGAAAACTCAAACATAACATTAACAGCTTGTTGTAAACAAATGTTGTTTTTACATTCATTGTCTGTTCTCCCACTTCTGGTAACTGTATTCAGATTTTGCTTTAGGGAAAATACCCCTTCTCCAGATTGAGCCATAATCAACTTAAATCAACAAGGACTGTCCAGCCCAGCCTGTGTGCTCAGTGGTTGAGTGTTGACCTGTGAACCAGGAGGTATGGTTTGATTCCCGCCCAGGGCACATGCCCAGGTTGTGGGCTCGATCCCCAGTATGGGGTGTGCAGGAGGCAGCCTATCGATCATCCTCTCTCATCATTGATGTTTCTATCTCCCTCTCCCTTCCTGTCTGAAATCAATAAAAATATTTTTTTAAAAAAATAAGGATAGTCCATCCTCCTGACCCCAGTGAGATTGATCAAGGATGGACATATAGCCCAGTCAGAGCCAATGAGATGCAAGAACTTATTTGCTGGGGCTTCCAGGAGAGAAAACTTCCTCTCTCCTCCTGGGAACCACCAGAAAAAGAGGATGTCCCTTTGGCTAAATGATGTGGTGAGAGTGTATGACAGCTGGCAGGCTACAGTCTTTTTTATATCATGAGGGAGAACCTAGAACTATACAGTGTAGAGCCTGAGGTTGAAGCCTGTGCTGTTGAAGACAGAGTGGAAGGACAGACAGAAAAAGGGTTTTTAATGACATAATTTGAGCCTCTGACAGAACAGCTCTGATATTTCCCATTATGCAAGGAACATTTTTCTTTTTTGCCTATTAATTTGAGTTGGGTTTACCCCTTCATTCCTCTCTGAACCCCATGTATTTCTCCAAAAATTAAAACAAAAGCCATGTGATGCAAATGCTTCTACTTTTAATGCTGGATGATATCTTTATCTTTAGAAAATAATAATACAAAAGCATTAAAAAAGACAAAGTTTTATATGTAGAAATAATCACTGAATGAATAGCAATGCATATATAAAAGGGAATCATTCAGAATTTAAAACTGTAAGAAAAAAATGGGTTTTCCATTTCTATATTTATACAGAATGCTGTTAATTCTGCTTTCACTAAAACATTTGAAGAACATCCTGAGAAGATATTTACCACTATCAACCACTTGTAATTCTATTTTTTTGAGGAATATTTTATAATTAAAATGTTTATATATTTAAAGGGTATAATTTGATGATTTGATATAGATATACATTGTGAAATAATCACCACAATCAAGATAATTACCACATCACCTCAGAGAGTTTTGGGGATTCTTTTTGTGTGTGTGTTTTTATAATTCTTAAAAAACTAGAATAGATTCAGAAGGCCCAGGTCTTCCCAAACCCAGTTGGTACTCAAGGAAAGAATGGTTTTCAAATTCCTTCATGGGTTTTTGCATTACAAGCTCAAACTATCTCCTCAAGGAAAAATTCTTCAAGTGTTCTGGAAAGCATAGTCATTCCTAACCTTGGTGAAAATTATTCAAACTATACAGTGGAACAAGGAGTAGGTGTTCAAAATCAGAGAGCTCCTAAAATAACAATATTTTTGTTGATAAGGATTAGTTACATGAAGGGGCTGAAATGGAGTTAATTCTGAATAGATGTGGTCTTCGTGAGACATTGACCAAGGACCTGCAAGGGGACTCAGACATGTAGAAAACATGGTACTTCTGGGACGTTGTCCTTGATCTGAGATGTCTCCCACGCCCAGGGCTCTCATCCAGGATAACACATGAAGAAGCACGGGGGTGCAGTATGTGAGAAAGATTTGCAGGGAAGAGTATCACATCAGAGGAGCTTCCTGACCAGGTGGCTTTGAGGACCAGGGAAGATTTCAGCATGTGGAAATGGAGGTAGCTTTCTGGATTAGAGAGAAGAGCATGAGGAAAGAGAAGTGCAGGGGCCATTGAGTGGTCCAGCTGAAATGGGACTTGGTTATAGAACCACTTGTTCTGAGGAAGCTCTCCTGGGGAAAAACTTAACTCATGATGAGTTAAGGCCCTCAGGTAAGATGGATGAGAGATGCCCCCTACCAACATCCCAAGGAGGGCAAGTACTTCTAAAAAAGGACACGGTATAATAGAAAAAGTTCATGTCCCCAAGTGTGTTTTCTAACTCCACCACTTTATACCTGGATGATGTCAGGCATTCACTTAACTCTCTAGGTCTCAGCACCCCAAGTGTAAAAGGAGGAGAATAGTATCTTTCCTGTGTACCTCAGAGGATTGGCATGAACTTGAGGAGAAACCGTGGGCACAAAATAGCGCTGTCAAATACTTTCCTGTGTCAGTTATCTTGTCATGTATGTGAAGCTCCCCAGTAAATACTGTTATCCTTCTATTTGACACTATGTACCAAATCCTTGCAGCCAGGGAACATATCTCCTTTAGGACTGAGAATAAACTATTAACTTTTTAAAAAGGGCACTTGATGAATGAATGAGTAAATGCATGAATAATGTTCAGAACTCTCCAACTAAATAATAATATCAGTCTCCTAACTATGCTGAAAACCCTTGGGCTGTTCTTTGACTTCTGGGTTGTTTGGCCCAGTGGAGGCTCTGGTTAAGTGGTCACTAATTGGTGTCATGGTAGAGAAGGAAGCCTGTGAAGGTGGAGTCATTGACATTATCTGCATAGAGCCCATTATTCTCCCCTTCCCCATACACCTGGAGCCAGACTTGGTCACCCATCTCCAGATGGAGGAGCACAGAGCCAGAGGCTTGGTCCACGTCCTTGTCCTGGTATTTGTCAAAGGTAAAGAGCACAGCCTTGTCCTTCTTGTAGAGGCTGACCTTCACATCTTTCGGGTAGACCGTAATGTGGTAGGAGAAGTAGTAGAGCCCAGGAATGTTGCAGTGGAATTTGCCAGTGGTGTCATCATAGTGGTTTTGCTGATTGTAGAAGATTTTGGTAAAGCGAATGGGAACATTGGGAACAGTGACCTGGGTCTCCAGTCCCACACTGAACGCTGAGCGGTATACATAGGCACTTTCTCCAGGTTCTCCTTTCCTGCCTTGGACTCCTGGAAAGCCTCGGGGACCTTCAACCCCAGTCACTCCAGTTTCACCAGTGTCACCCTTAGGACCAACAAGACCTAAAGAATGAAAAGATCTCAGTGATCATAAGAAACAGAACTCCTGCCTAAATTGATTCCAACCTAAAACACTGTTCCTATGGCCCCTATATACAATCTGCTTCACTTCGAGCAAAGAACCAGTGGGAGCACCCAAAGGGGAGAGTTATACCTCCTATTTCCACATCCTCCCCAGCAGGCTTCCATTAATCCTTTCCAACCTTATATCCAATAAGTCTCCATTATCGACCTGTCAACTATGTACTGTCTCAACCAACCATACTTTTGCTCTTCTATCCCTTTGTGTAGGATGCCCTCCCTTCTTTACTCTGTCCACTCATCTTTCAAGACCTAGCTTAAGCCCTTCCTCCTCCATAAAGCCTCATTGTTAATCTAAGTTTGCTCTAAGGGCACCTTTTCTCTGTTCCATAATTTGGCATTTGTTCACATTCAATTTGGCATATTTGGAGTGGACTTCCCAATAGTAACCTTTCACAGTCCTGTGCATTAGGCTTCTCTTCTTAACTAGACCAGGAGCTCTCTAGGAGCAGGACTGTGACCTGCAGGAGGTGAACACTAAGTGTGGTTGAATGTCACTGCATGGAATGGGAATTAAGGGCAAATGAATAGAAATAGGAATATGAACAGATTGGGACTAGGGATGGATGAGGGTGGGGATGGGAAAGGGGACAGGGAAGGAGATACAGATAGAGCAGAATCAAAGATACTTGATTTTTCACAAGTACACCTATTGTCACCACTGGAAGGCCAACCCAAAATCCACTTTAGGTTGCTTATGAGTCACATAAAAAAAATTTGCTTCTTTCCTGTGTCTAGACTTTAGTCAATAACTAATACCCTTATATAGTTCTAGAAGCCCTCCTCTACCCAAGACAAGTCTGTTGGAGAAGGCCAAAAAACTTGTTCTTACCTGCATCTCCTTTCTCACCCTTCTCACCAGGAGTGCCATCTCTGCCATCACGTCCTGGGGTCCCATTGTGGCCAGGATGCCCTGGGATGCCCGCCACCCAACCAGTGCAGACCCCCTTAGGCAGGGGAAGTTGGACTCCAGGTTCTTTGGTCGGAGTATCTTGACCACGACTGGGCAGGACTAGTAACAGTAGAACAGCTTGCAGCAACAGCATCCTGAGTCCTGAAATCAGACCAGCCCTGAGAGACAGACCCCACACAGCACACTCATACTGGATCTAAGCAAGACTCACACCACCTCAGCAGGGTCCACTTCTGAGACCTACTCTCCCAATACTCACCTCTTCCAGGAAGACTTTTCTATTTCAATCCACCTCGATCTTTTTCTGCCCTGATATTTGCAATATTTAACATATTCCTTATGGCTAACCACTTTTCCTCAACAGGATTGTGAGTTCAGTGATGGCACAACAATGTCACTCCAATTTACTCATATCTGAGCACAGGACCCGGCACAGGAAAAGCTCCAAGAGTCAACTTGCCAAGAATCCTTCCTTTGAGTTTTCCAAGGATGTTGACTCAGATCATTCCATCCAATTATTTTATTTTTTAAAATATATTTTTCTTGATTTCACAAAGGGAGGGAGAGGGAGGGAGAGCTAGAAACATCAATGTTGAGAGAGACTCATTGATCAGCTGCCTCCTGCGTGCCCCACACTGGGGATCGAGCCTGCAACCTGGGCCTGTGCCCTGACCGGGGATCGAACCATGACCTCCTGGTTCATAGGTCTACGCTCAACCACTGAACCATGCCGGCGGGGCCATTCCATTCCATTCCATTCCACTCCAACTAATTCCTCTCTCTTGAATCATTTCAGTTCCTTCTTTACTACCCTGTCCCTTATTTTCTATGTCTGTTCCTCCTCCTTTTTCTCCCATTCTCTTCCTCCCTCTCCCCTTCTCCTGGGTGACATTAGGCCATTTGGTATATTACACACATGCACACACATACACACACACACACACACACACACACACACACACACAGAGCCTTGCCTTGGATTAGTCACACAATAAAAGATACATTGTCCATTTGCCTGGGCCTCCCTTATCTGCATCTCCTCACATGCCTGATCCCTATGCAGCCTTCAGGACAGTTAAGATGTCATCTCGCAGGAACCCTTTCTGGTTATCTCTCCCCCAACTGGATTGGTTCTTTCTCCTCTGTGTTCCCCTGTGGCCTCACTTATCTCCAACATTGCACTTCTTTCACTGAACTGCAATTCCTGATTAGCTCGCCCATTAAACTACATGTGTGGGGGGACGCAAAGCCTGACACACTACCAGCATAGAGTAGGTACTAAATAAATATTTTTATAATGAGAAAAAGAAAGAGAAAAAGAGCCAGAGAGAGGAGGGAAGGAGGAAGAAAGGGAACAAGAAAAGAAGACAAGAGGGAAGGAGTGTGGAGTATATTTGAAATATGAATTATAGGAGCCCAAGCAAAAAGCTTAAGTGGCACAAGTGGCCAAGGGTCTCTCTGTCTCAGAACCATCCCTCGATAACCCCCTCCCAGAAGATGGTCCTTTACATACCTAGGGACTTGTACCCTCATAACTTCTTCCTTGATATTAGAGTGATCTTAGCTCCCACATTTGATTGCCAGAGTGTTAGTCTCCCCATCCCTAAAATATGCCAGAGAGTTGAAAGCACCAAAGAGAGGGAAATAGGTCCTAGGACCCTGCATCACAGGTATTGCTAAGACCTTCTGTCTAGTTTGAAAGGTGGTTAATCCCAAGAACCTGATTCTAAACAAAACACAGTCCATATATATTTTATTTCCCTAAAGACACTATTTTTCATCAGGTTGCTTATCTCTTATAGATTACATGAAATCTCCAGAATTGGGTTTGGCTTTAGGAGACAACTCCTCTGTGAAGGATGCAGGAAAGACCCTGATTGGCAATCTTACCTCCAAAGATGTGCATGGTGTCTGGAATCCACTCCTATGCCCCATTACCTGGGCTCTATGTGACAAAACCACCTTATCTTCATATATATATACTCATCT